GTAACCAGTAACTCCCGGTCGTGCCCAGTAAGTCCCACTCATAATCAGTAACTCCCGTTGTGCCCAGTAACCAGTAACTCCCGGTCGTGCCCAGTAAGTCCCACGCATAATCAGTAACTCCCGTTGTGCCCAGTAACCAGTAACTCCCGGTCGTGCCCAGTAAGTCCCACGTGTAATCAGTAACTCTCGGTTCTGCCCAGTAACTCCTGGTTGTGCCCAGTAACCAGTAACTCCCGGTTGTGCCCAGTAAGTCCCAAGCGTAACCAATAAATCCTGGTCATGCCCAGTAAGTCCCGCGTGGTCCCAGTAACATGAGACTGATCACATGATGCTATTGTGGCTGCACACTTATTTTTCTCAAAGATGATGTATGAGCTCCCCCCCCCCCTCCGTTTTTTTCCAGTACGTCGTGCGTCTGGAAAAGTGAGCGATAGCAGAACCTGTGGGTGGGGGTGTAGTCAGGTCCTGAGGGGGAGGATGAATTCTGGGCATTTTTTTGCGTGTCCTGAAAGCCCGAAGTCAGGAGCCGAGGGGCTTTGGGGGGGGGTGGGGGTGGCGGCCCTTGGGGGGGCGATGGAAACAGTCACAGTCCGAGCGCCGGGAAGCAGGGCACTTTTATTAAGCGCCACTTATGAAACATCCTTCTGAGATTCTTATAATCGACTTATTCTGACACTCATCAGTTCCATCTCTTGGGGGGGTGGGGGCCCTTGTCTTTGTTTTTTCTTTTAGCCCCCCTCTGAGGTGCGAAAGTGGGGCTTGTTAAAAAAAAAATGTAGAGCCGTGAGGTATGTGGATGTCATTGGTTACGAAGCCCCCCGTGCTGCGGCCTTATGGTTTTAAACAGACTAATTACACTTGCAGCCCCCCGGAAGCGTACGGGGCGGGGTCCCCTGTCCGGCAGGTCCCAGGAGGCGCCTCATGTCCCACTAGCCATGGCTTTCGGCTGGCAAACACACGGTGCCCCTCAGAACTGACCCTGGATCAGTGCCTCTACAAAGCTTGTAGCAAAGCTTCACATGGACCTAAGATGCTCTCACTTCGGCTGCTCGGAGCAGGAGACCACTGGAGTGAGAATGTGGCCTGTAGCTCATGTCTCCCCCCCCCCAACTGCAGGCCTGGAATTTCCCTGGGGGCCCAAACCCTTCGCAGAGGTGGTGGCCGGGACGCTTCTCCGCGGCAACGGGCAGACGGTGGACAGCAGCTCCCTGGAGGGGTCCTTCGTGGGCGTCTACTTCTCCGCCCACTGGGTGAGTGTCCTTGGTGGGTGGAGTGGCCCCTCTGATTGCCCATCCCCCCACCCAGGGGGCTCCAACTCTTGTGCGTCCTCATAATACATGCCCCCCCCCCCAAGAAATCCAGCAGGGCACTGGACCAGTGAATATCTCTTGCCATGGAAGGGTGGGGTGGTCTGAATGGAAGAGAGTAGGTCCTGCTAACTCAGGGAAGGCAAGGAATGTTGGGCTGGAATGATCTGGTTTGGAGGCTGTGGCCCCGCCCACCCGGCTGCTGACTGACAGCTACGGCTGCGGCCGGCTGGACCCCCAGAGGGAGCAGGCTGGTATTTCCAGCTGCCTGGTGGGGCTGTTCTCTCCTCTCAGGTCCTGTTGGGCTGCACCGGCGTTACACCAAGCATTAAAGATGTTTGTAATGCCCCCACCCCCCCCAGAGAAGCGATGATACAAGGCAGGGCCCGTAATATATTTATGAGTTTTATTCCTGCTCTGCGTTATAAACTGCAACTGTTTCGCTGCAAAAACAGGCCTGGTGAAACGTGTCAGGCGTGAAATTCCAGGCACCTGGAGGTGGTGTCCGTTACATGACACCCCCCCCCCCCCCGCCGCCTACCCCCAAGGACCTCAGCTGACCTTGAGCTGTCGCACACTCCTGCATGTTGTGTGTGTGTGTGTGCACGGCTGGCCCACTGTCACCAGCAGAGGGCATACTCATTAACCATTGTGACCAAAGGTTGCAGATCGAGGCTGGTTTGGAACGCTAATTTGGTTTGAACTGTATGACCACTGAAAAAGAGATAAGTGTACAAGTCTGGCCAGTACTGCTGTGTCGGGCTGTTATAGAGTACCTGTCTGTGGAGGAGTACTGCAAGAGCTTAGGAGTATCGCACAGGCTTGGAACACGCGCAGCATCCAAGAGTCTTATGTAAGATGCTTTGATTCAGAGTCTTTGTCTTCCAAGTGAGTTCATAAATAAAAGTCATCTGAAGGGAGGCCGAGGATTAAAAGCAGCCAAAAGCAGCCCTATGAAGTCATTTTGGATGCTTTACAGAAAAGGGGCTTTTAATAAAATTTTAATTTCAAAATGAAAAATTTGGCTGGGAGTGACCTGGAGGGGGCCGTTCGCTAGCAAGCTGTTTATGCTCTCCTCCTGGAATGATCTGGAAAGGGAAGGCAGCTTTTTACTGCCCGTCCTCTAACCGAACTGGCCAGTGCCGACTGAGAGCCGGGATTAGATGCCACAGTGAGCCGACGGCTGCCCCTGGCCTCTTGGCACGGCCTGAATCAGGCGGGAGACGATATTCATGTGCGTCCTCTTAATTACTGTTATCCCACCCACAGGGCTCGTAGCTGCTGCAGGTTTAAGGTAATCAGTGTTTTTTCTGTGTCCCCTTCCCCCACCGGCAGTGCCCCCCCTGCCGTAGTCTCACGCGGGTGCTCGTGGAGTCGTACCGCACGGTGAAAGAGTCTGGGCAGAAGTTCGAGATCGTCTTCGTCAGCGCCGACAGGTGAGCTATGCCAGCCGCCGGTGGCTTCCACGAGACGCACGACCCGGGTGAAAGGAGTCTCACTGTCCCGTTCGAACCCGAGCAGGTCAGAGGAGTCCTTCAAGCAGTACTTCAGTGAGATGCCCTGGCTCGCCGTCCCCTACTCGGATGAAGGCCGGCGATCGCGACTCAACAGGCTATATGGGATCCAAGGTTTGATGGACTTCAATTACATCATCTTTAAGAGACATCCATAACTGTGCACAAGCAAATCACCATCATTCTTAATGCAATATCGAGCTGATGCAGTAACCAATGAGTGGGCGTAATCAGTCTTGATTGATAGTCCAGCATAATGCCACCCATCCAAGGGTCTGGAACACTCCTCGGTGCCCCTAAGGCCTGTGTGTGGACGGGGCTCCGTGTCAGAATGCCGTGGTGGGTGGGTTCGTCTTTGAAACCCCGCTGTCATGGTAATACCTCCTGTGAGCCATGCAGCAGCCCACCGGCCCCAGGGGGACGGCTCGCTAACCCTCGCTAACCCACTTAGCTGTCCCACTTTGCAACCCATCCTTGCATTCCAGCTTGTCCGCTCACTCTTCCTCTGCCCTGGAATCTGCGGAATGTGTCCCAGACATGTTGGCTGTCACGGCCCCGCTGCTGACGCCACAAGCGCTGGCACAGACTCACTCACACAGACGCGCTCGCGCAGACGGGCTTATGTAGACGCCATCACAGACATAGATGCACTCACAGAGGCAGACGCACTCGTGCAGATGGGCTTACGCAGACGCGCTGACACAGAGGCAGTTGTGCTCATGCGGGCGAGCCCGAGCCGATGCACTTGCTCAGGTGGACTCTTGCAGATGTAGACGCGTTTATGCAGATTCTGGCATACAAAAACGCAGACGCAGACATGCTTAGGCTTACGCAGATGGGCTCACGCAGAGGTAGAGGCGCTCACACAGATGCACTCGCGTTGTACTCCATTCATGTGCGATAAACCTGTTAACAGCAAAGATTGATGTTACAAAGGGCCTCTGACAGGGTGAGGGGACATGTGGGGTACAGGGCATTGGCCGTGGCTGAGAACAGCACGCACTGCGTATCCATGTTAGTAAATCTGCGCAGAGCCACGGAAGGGGCTGTTTCTGAGGCTGGCCTGCTGCAGTGGCTGTGCAGCTGATGCAGTCGGCTTAGCACCCAGCGTCCTGTACGCCCAGGATGTGGTGACCCAGCCCAGCGTCCCTACAGGTATCCCCACCCTCATCCTGCTGGACACAGAGGGTCACATGATCACGCGCCAGGGCCGGGTGGAGGTGCTGAACGACCCCGAGTGCCAACTCTTCCCCTGGCACCCGCGGCCCGTGCTGGAGCTGTGCGAGTCCAACGCCGTGCAGCTCAACGAGGGGCCCTGCCTGGTGCTCTTCGTGGGTGAGGAATTGCCCTCGTGTCTCTCCATCCAGACTGTCCCTGTCGCTCATTCTTGTCACTCCCCTTTCTTTTACCCTGTTCTTTCATGTCCTCTCTGCCCCAGATGCTGAGGAAGAGGGGGAGCTGGAAGCAGCAAAGCAGCTGATCCAGCCCATAGCAGAGAAGATCCTGGCCAAGTACAAGGCCAAGGAAGAAGAGGCACCACTGCTGTTCTTCGTGGCTGGAGAGGTGAGTGGGGGGAGCTGGATCACCATTGTCTCTGGCAGGCAGTGCTACAACACTCTGATGTGGACTGAGGTCGACCTAAAACCGCCTCTTTCAAGAGCAGATCACTTTGAAGTGTCTGTCCCAAAACTCTTATTACCGTGTTCTGGTGATGGAGACCATGTCCTTGCCAATCTGATCAGAGCTCTACACTGCATGAAACGCTGAGAGAGGAGCTGAACACCACACAGAACATTGTGAGTGGGCCTGAACACTGCACGGAACGCAGAGAGCGAGGTTGAACACTGCACGGAACGCTAAGAGCAGGGCTAAACATTGGCACGGAATGCTGAGATCGGGACTGAACATTGGCACGGAACAATGAGAGCGGAGCCAAACACTGCATAGGATGCTGAGAGCGGAACTGAACGCCACACAGAACAATGAGAGCAGAGCCAAATACTACACAGAATGGTGATAGGAGGCCTTAACACTGCATGGGACGCTGAGAGTGGGACTAAACATCGGCATGGAGCAATGTGAGCAGAGCTGAACACTACACAGAATGCTGATAGCGGGCCTGAACATTGAACGGAACATTGAGAGAGGGGCCGAACACTGCACGGAACATTGAGAGTGGGGCCAAACACTGCACGGAACATTGAGAGAGGGGCCAAATGCTGCACGGAACATTTGAGAGTGGGGCCAAACACGGAACATTGAGAGAGGGGCCAAATGCTGCACGGAACATTTGAGAGTGGGGCCAAACACGGAACACGGGCTGAACAGCACAGGGAATGCTGAAAGTGGGGCCAAAAAAAAAACAGAATATTGAGAGCAGGGCTGAACACCCCAGCAAATGCTGAGAGCAGAGCCAAACACCCCACTGAACATTGAGAGCGGGACTGAACACCGTGGAATTGCAGGTGAAGCAGGTGGATAGACTTCTTGTACAACATTCCGAGGATCAGAGAATCTTAAACTTGACTTCAGCCTCAACTTTCCACAGAACAGCTTTGTGCTGCATAAATGGTTACATAAGCACCCTCTCCTCTGCCTACGGTGTGGGGGAAGGCCATTCCCCATCTCCATGGTCTCTGTTCTTTTTCGTTATTCAGCCCCTTCCCTCTCTGCACTGTTATGCCCCAAGCAGAGCTGCTCTGATAGGCTTCTCCAGTTCTCCCCTATGTTTCATTCACGGGTGGCCACAATTCAGGCTGTCCCTGCTCAAATGCTCCCAGAATGCATCCCTGCACACACATCCACGTGAGCAGTGCTGGGTTTACTCGTTAATTGAAGCCATTGACAGTCTTGCTGTATTTGGCAGCTGCTGATGTATCTATGTTTTTAGGTCCTTGATGTGACACATGGTGATGGCATACAGGCTAAGCCTCTGTGCCTGTGATCGGAAGGTTGTAGGTTCTTGCCCCCGGCCTTGGCAGAATAGTCACATGTCCATGGGCCCCTGAGCACAGCCCTTAACCCCCAGCTGCCGAGGGTGCTGCTGCTGGGTGACCCTCCCCTCCTGCAGCCGTGGTGTGGCTGGGGACAGGGCGACAGGGCGACAGTGCTGTGTGCGGACGCCGCTTTCCGCCATTAGCACATGCTGACGATGATCTCACACGCCCCACTCTGCAGGCCCAGTACCGGGCCTTTGACCCATATGACTGGAACCAGTACAGATTCTAGATAATTTCGACATGGCCAGTTACAATTCAGTTCATTATACTGAAATGAATTTTCCCTGTGTGTTCTGAATTTAATTTTTTTTTTGTAACATAGATCAGTATGTGGATTTCTCCAGATGGCGGGGCGTCTGGATGGGGCCTGTAGCGTCTGAGGCGTGTGGCTCGGACCCGTTCTCCAGACAGTCGGTTTATGTCCGTTATCCAGCCTGTAGCGCGACGCTGAAGGTTGGCAGTCAGTCTTTTCTGGTCTTTAAAGCAGAAGAATGTACATCTGGCTGCCAGAGAGGGCTTCCAGTATCAGGAAAGACAAACAGAGAAGTGTCTGAATGTCTAATACTTCTGTCAGTTTGCTAACTGCACCAGTTTATAATTAACTAAGATAAGACGCGGTAAGTTGGGAGGTACTCCCCAGCTTTGTACCTGGGCTACAAAGAAGAACCCCCCCCCCCCCCACAGACAAACGCATCATTATGGTTACACGATGGTATCAATGATGTCCACCAGCCCTTGGCAGAGGCCCGCTTGGCGGGGGGATGGCCGGGGGGGTAGTGGTGGGGCTTATCTGATGGCCGCTGTCATCGGAATGTCACTGTGGCCCAACGTGAAGGATAAACCTGTCGCTGTGTGGCCCGGCGCTCGGCCTAATTGTGGCCCCGGCCCACTCGGAGCGGGGGGGGCCTGGGCGCGGCTCGCCTCTGGAGCGTTCGGATCCATTCCTGTCTGCCCTGCCATCCTAAGCATGCTTTTTCATTGCAGCATGACTGGTTTTCTGCAGCTGGCCTGCAGTGGTTTCTGAAGGTCATGTTCAGGATAAATCTGTGAGCAATTAAACGCAGCCTTAAAAAAAGGACATTTTACATGCACAGTTATTAATTTGCCAGTCAGCTTTATCCAATGTGAAGTCAGGACACATCAAGAATTAACACATCCATAGCATACACAAAAAAATTGCATATAAAAGCAAACTGCAGGCTAAGTGCCTCTGCAACAGGGTATAGTTATATCTTATAGTTGTGGCTCATCCATAGCTAGTTAGACCAGCGATCCCTCCTAGCCATGTGACCACCTTGACCCGACTTGTATTGCAGATACATGTTAGCATGTGATGAGCCCCCCCCCCCTCCCCAAAGTTGCACCTCATCCCTTTCAATGGCACAATATTTAAGTTTAATTTTCTTTCTCGACTGATACCCTGTGTGTTTTGTCAAAAAAAAAAAAAGAAAACCTGCTGGTAATTATTGGTAATAGTGAGAGGACTTTTAGCCCTGCTGGTAACTTGCAGATCACAAGCAGACTGCCTGCCCCCGGGAATGCTGGGAAAACCCCGCCAGCTGTGACTAATGCTAGTCTGACTGTCCTTGCATTTTTTTCCGCCTTCCCAGTGGATTTTCCTGCCCAACGTTCCGGCCTAGCGGAGTGTTCCGGCAGGCTAATGAAGTGAGAGCATGTCATTACGAGCTAGAACTGGATCAGGACCGAGCCGCTGGGGAAGATGTTGGCTCCTGACTGCTTCCTGCTCCTCGGGGTTCCTTCCGACCCCGGCAAAGATTACGCCTTAATTGTAACAAACTGTCTGTCCACATTAGGGGTTTTTACCCTTCATGAACCCAAGACCCCCGATTAAGATGGACAATCCAGATAGTGGAGAAACACCATGGTTCTGATGAAGGCCTACGAACGGACTCAAGGAGTGTGTCACTCAGACATTGTGCTACAATGTCCAGGGTTCTTATGTCATAAAATATTTAAATTACCAGAGATGACTGAAGGGTGTAATTGTGCATTGTGTTGGCTTTTTTCTTAAGGTTACATAGTTTCTACACATACTTTTTTGCCAGACTGAAATGGCTTTGTGTGCGTGCCAATTCTATTCCGGCGCTACAGTGTCACCCTATGGCCACTTGGGGAATAACTTCTGCTCCAAGTAATCTTTTCCATATGCCCTATCTCCCGCATCTCTCGCATGGCTCATTCATTCATTAAAGGGTTTAGTTGAGGGGAAATAAGATCATTTTGTCATGTGGGAAGCAGAGGTGTCTGCAGCAAAAACAATGAGGTCTTTGTCTGACTGCAGAAACAGTGTCTGTGTGGACTGGAAAAAAAAAGCTGGTCGCCTTTAAGTGTCGCTGCTCTGGGCGGCAGATGAACCCAGCAGCTCTTCAGTTGAATGGTTCCTCTGGGCTTCCTTTGCCCATAAAGCGGTGGCTCAAGCGGTGAACAAGTGGGTACAGAAAGATGGATGGATGGATGGATGGATGGATGGAGGGAGCCAGCCCTGATCCTTTTAACCCGGTTCCTTGTGAAGGGGGAGGGCTGGCTATACAAACCAGGAAGGGGCAGGTCTTAGCCTGGCTTGTCTCCTCCCCCTTTGCTAATTAACTCCCCCACTGACAGAAAAAAAGAGTATCACTGAGGCTGTACCCTCAAGGGTCTGCTAGTTGTACCCTATAGCTCTAGGTAAAAGTACCTTTTATGGTACAGAAATGGACTCTGGGGAACATTGTTGTACTATTGATAGTACATTAATGTTGTTTGTACCTTGGGGATGTTTCTCAGAGTCCATTTCTGTGCAGAAGACAGACTCCAAGTGTACTGTGGGGTCACCCGGCGTTTCTCTTGGCGCCCCCTACTGGGAGTGTGAATGTGTCCCTATAGCCTGTGCATCACTGCCGTTTCTTCTCTCTGCCAGACATCAAAGGAAAAATGGAGGTAAAAAAAAAAACAGGAAAAGGGAAACGATGTGGGGAAGCTCTGTGTTAAAAATAAATCTGCCATTGTTTGGTGCCTGTTGTTTGGCCCGATGTGGTGTTTAAATGGACCTCCCTGTGTCTGTGTGCATGTGTGTGTGTGTATGTGTGTGTGTGTATGTGTGCGCGTGTGACTGTGTGTGTGTGTGTGTGTGTGTGTGTGCGCGTGCGCGTATGACTGTGTGTGTGTGTGCGCGCGCGCATGTGTTTGCATGCACGTGGCTATGCTGATTTATTTATTCTTTAACCTGGGACTCCCTCCTCACCCTCAGGATGACATGAGCGACTCCCTGCGTGATTACACCAACCTGCCAGAGGCGGCGCCGCTCCTCACCATCCTGGACATGTCAGCTCGCGCTAAGTACGTGCGCGACGTAGAGGAGATCACGCCCGAGGTGGTGGAGCAGTTCGTCAGCGACTTCCTGGCAGAGAAACTCAAACCGGAGCCCATCTAGAAAGAGGGAGAAGGCTGGTCCTGTTAGGGCTGACACTGAAACTCCATCCAACAACCCCCACACTGCTCTCTTCATCCTCTGTACAGTTTACTTTCTTCAAATTCCCATCAGTACTGTCCTCCCCCCCACCAACCTGCCACGACCCATGACTTATTACTTACTGACATTTTTAACTTTTAAAAGTAAGAAAATGATGTGGGATTCTGAGCAGGTCCTGCTGTCTTTTCTCACGGTGCCTTGCCTTGACTACAGCCCCTGCAGCACAGTAATGCTCCTGCCCAATGCTCCTGGGGTTCTTGAACATTTCATTTCTTTTTTTGGCAACAAGAATGTCTTCCTTAAGAGACACAAAGTATCACTTTGCCCAGTGGATTCCATCTGAAGAACTTTCTGTCTTCGTATTTCTTTGTCGCTTGGGTTCTCCGGTGTGTTATGATGTGCAAATTAAGGATAGTGTAATTAAAAGTATTGAAGATGGAATGAAAGTCGACATATTTACGCCATGCATACAGGTCTCCCTTGTTGGCCTTCGATTTTAATGTAGCTGCCTCTTCTGAGGTTTGTCTCCGTTTCAGACATGCATCAAAGTGTGAAACAGATTCACAAAAATGAGAGCTTTCTATGTGAAAAAAACAGCCCTGCAGTACAGTCGTGTTGTATTTCTGGGGTGGGGTGGAAAAGGCTGTTTCTTTTTGTCATACAAAGAAATTTCCCTTTGAAGCCCCCCCTTTTTGTGCTCTGATGACATACGATATTACCGAGTCTCAGAGCAGCCATAAGTTCAAGGATTTTCTGTGAAGGTCCCTGTTTTTAAACAAAAAAAAGGCCAGTTGTTTTGGAAGGCTGAAATAGCATTGTGAGAGTCCTGGCTTCCAAGTTTTTGAAAGAAATTTATAGCATTGTTCCTATTACTCGCTGGACACTCAAAAAGAAACTCACGGTCATTAAAAGCTGCTCTCTTTTCCACGTGAGTCCTCCCTCACTCTTTGCCGTTTTGCAAACCCTTGTTTCTGCATAAAGATCTGCTTTCTTTTCCCAGACCTGTTTTCTTCAGAGACCTAAAATTGTGTCCAAGACGATGGAAAATCATCGGCAGATTTCTTTGGGAACAACTGCTAACTCAAGACCAGGCTGTACTTAAAAAGACCACTGACTGTAGAACCTCATATACACAAAAATATTGGAAAAATGGATTCGCTTAAATACTAGGATGTACATGGATCAACACATTTTTTCCAACACAAATTAACTGCCAAGACAAAATACAATGTTTGATCAACTGATTTCCACACAAGTACATTGTTATGAAACTTTGTTTTAAAATGTTGAAAAGAGGTATAGTTTTAATAGTGAAGCAAAATGCAGTAAGATGCTAATATATTCTTGTGCTCAACAAATTTGCTGAATTGTCCATCTTGTTTAACGTAGAAAAAAAGCTTAATGCGACATCTGCTGGTCAAATATATACATGCAGTTACTATGCATTCATTGTGGACGGTGCTACAGGTTTCTTAATTGAACACCACTTAACGATTTTAAATATTTTGCATATGCCGCCCTTTGGCGCATATTTGGGGGAAATACTTGTAATATCCTTTAGAATATTTAAATGGTTTTGATTTCATGCAAAACATTTAAGTTAATTTCATTGTTATGCATTGTTAACGGTATAAATTCAATAAATTTCCATTGGCCTGACAGTTGTTTACAGAACTTGTGTCGATATATCAGAAATATTTCATCTAATGCTTCAGGCACCCCCATTTGAGTAAATCGAGATTTTTCTTCCAATAAGGCTTCAGAATTATATTTGTGTGCAAACGGAAAATTAAATTTATGTGTAAATGTACGGAAGGGGTTCAAAACAGCCGAACAGCGTGACTGTGTTCTTTGGTTCTTTACATACACCCTGCAGTGTTTCCTGAATCAAATAGGAAGTGATATTAGCATGAATTCAAAGCACATCAAAGAGCTTATTTTTTAAAAAGGCAAAAATATTCAGTGTTTATCTTATGTTAGATAAAGAGCCACAGCATTCCAGAAGGGGTTACACACACTAGAATGCTGCGCGTCTAGGTCGGCTGGGCTGTCTGCTCCGTGACAGCTGTGATATTTCAGCGAGATGGGCAGCATCCAAGAGCAGCTCGCGTGTCTCCTAAATAACACGGGAGCAGTGATGTTAGGCACCAAGCCCGTGGTGCAGCTGGGAACTAAGAACGTTGGGAATCATGCTCGTAAACTGAGTCTCTATGTGCGGCGCTCGCAGCTGTAAACCACAGACGGTGTGATAGGACATGTGGTTATGTGTTTTATCTCAGCCAATTTTATGTTCACAATTAATGGGTGTATTTGTCATGGTGTCTTTTCTGACTCTTTGAGGGGAAAAACACAATATAATATATGAAACGGCCATGTAGTATTAATATATGCTACGAAATTTGTTGCAATATTTAATTTAACATTAAACTACTAAGTGTAGAATTCGTAACTTTGTCACAAATTTCTTTGCAGACGTGAATATTTAAAAACATATTTGGTTTGGAGTAATGGTTTTGGAATAGCAGGGGAATAGGTAATATTTAGGTGATTTATATTTTGGAATGAATCTGCAAGAATTTGTAGCATTATCCACAAAACAGCATACGCACCACAAAGCGGTTGTCACGCCAAGCGGACCCCTACGTCATCAACGAGGGACGATCGAATCAGATTGGGGAAATCAGCCATTAGTAATGGAACTGCCGCCGTAAAATCCATTCCTTTCATGAAATTCCTCCGGGTTATTTGGAGAACGAATATATGATAACGAGAGTGCGGAACATTGGATGGTCAAAAATTACTGAAGCGATATTAAACTGTTTTGAGTTAAAAGGTTTGGATTCAAACCAACGGATCGCCGAGTAATCGATCGCTAGTGCGACGCTATCCCAGGACCAGCTGTTAAGGTACAGACCAACGTCCTGGAAACTGGGATCAGTAGATGTAGTCATGTCGTTGAGGAGAGCCTTACATTTCGTGTTTAAAGTGGGCGATAGGAACAAGACAGCCACATTTTACCGCGATGTCCTTGGCATGAAAGTAAGATATGTTTTTGTTTGTCAGACGTGCATGACCAAATTAAGACCAGTCCTGATCAATAAACGACGTGATAGTCAGTGTCACCAACGTTGGTCAGCTGGCTGGCGTGAGATTTTCAATTCGAGATAAGTCTGCACACGCATTACATGCATGTAACAGTTCTATTACCTTGTAAACAGTCTGTAGGGTTTGCAAACTAACCCAACGCTTTGGATGCAGCTACTTTTAGTTTTATAGTGGAATAATTTAGATTTGCGGTAAGATTTCTAGCAAGAGAGTCTGGAAGCGTGTGTGTCAAGCCCGATGCGTGACAGTTGGCAACAGTGCACTTCGCACCCCACGCTCCAGGTGCTTTTTGAATTAATGCAGCAGGTCAGTGATTCTGTCAATGATGAACTAGTGTGGGTTTGCCAGGTATATGCTGAAATAACTGGAAAGCTGCATAGTCACGGATCCATGGTTTTTAATTTTGTTTCAGGTACTTCGACATGAGGAGTTTGAAGAAGGCTGTAAAGCAACTTGTAATGGGTGAGAATGTAACCATTGTATATGAAATCAAGCAAAAAATCCCACCTTAAGTGAAACCTGAAAGGCATGTCACAGTTTGCCTTTTGGTGAAAAGAGCACTGTGTATATTTATCTGTTTATTCATTTGATTGACCTGCACACATTCAATAACGAACTTGATTAATTATTCATGCAGATAGATAAATTAAAAGCAGAAACTAAATCAGGTGACAATGTTTTTACTTAGTACACAACATATTATTTTATATATCTTTTTGTAAGTCCGTATGATGGGAAGTGGAGTAAGACTATGGTGGGCTTTGGTCCAGAGGATAACCATTTTGTGTCAGAGCTGACGTACAACTACGGTGTCGGAGAGTACCACCTGGGTAATGATTTCCTGGTAAGCCACCCCACAGCCCAAGCTGTGCAGTTCTGCTCTGTGTATTGATGTGCTGCAGTTATGATGGAAGCTGTATCCATCCTGGCGGGACAGTCTGAGCTCAATGATATAGCAGATATCCTGTATTTTATGTGAACAACTTACAGCGAGGGCTTCGTAAGAAACAGAAATACAATAGAAATGCATTAAATATATTTCTGTGTTTGTTTAATCTTCAAAAATCACCATCTTATAGCCCATTGTCTATTTTGCTCTTTGATGGCATTTTGTTTGTTTGTTTTTCAATCTCCCTAAAAGATCATTTATGTTGAGCATCAACACAGATGTGGACCTTAGAAATGGACCTCGTTCTCTGTTTGTACAGGGCATCACTCTGCAGTCCAGCCAGGCCGTCAGCAATGCCCGCCGGCTCGGGTGGCCCCTCTTGGAGGCAGGGCAGGGGGTCTACCTGGCCGAGGCCCCAGGGGGGTACTCTTTTTACTTGGTGGATGAGGAGCAGCCCCAGACAGGTGTGTCACTGGTCCTGTGTCACAGCCTGAAAATCATTCTGGAAGGGCATTCATTGGGCAGTGGACTCATCACCAGAAATGCCTAGTGGCATACCATGGGTGTAGTCACAGAAAAACTAAATAACCTACATAATAATAATGAGAATAATAATAATATGGTACTATATATAAGCACCATAATCCTAATTACTTCAGAAACCATCACAACACTGTAAGAGACGCCGGATTTGTTACCATGTAGCTTGGACCTGATAGTGCTGTTTTGTATCTGCTCTTGGCCTTAGACCCCATCCAGAAGGTCTCCCTGGCCGTGTCTGACCTGCAGCGTTCCACACACTACTGGTCCGTCCTCCTGGGGATGCAGATACTGGAGAGAGATGCTGAGAGGAAATCGGTCCTACTGGGATTCGGAGATGGGCAGGTTTGGGAGGCCCGTCCGGGGTGTGATATGTCCTCATAGCTCCTAGCTGGTGTTTAGGTATTGTTTGTGTTTGCAGTGCAAGCTGGAGCTCCGTGACATTGGCGGCCCAGTGGACCACGGCACAGCCTTCGGGAGGATCGCTTTCTCCTGCCCTCGCACACAGGTGACAAGGCTTTGGTGACAGCAGAAGTGTGTTTACATTACTTTGTATTTAACCATCTTGTAAGATACCTAAACTCTTTTTAAACTGGGCAGCTTAGCTAATGTTTCTAAACTTCAATTTTTCTATGGTTTGACATAATTTTACCCGTATTATTTTCTCTTCTTGGGATATAGTTGGATTACTTAGTTGCCTAGCAGCAGACCTGATACTCCCAATTCCCAATATCCCCCCCCCCAGTTACCTGACATTGAGGCAATAATGAAGAAGGAGAACCAGACGATCATCACGCCCCTCGTCAGCCTGGACACGCCAGGGAAGGCCACCGTGGAAGTGGTCATACTCGCTGACCCGGTGAGTGTTGGTCCCAGGAAGTGACCCCTAACGAGGCCCGTCTGTTAAGCTGTTCCTCGATACACGTGCACCGCTGTGCTCTTTCTCCACCTTTAAGGACGGCCACGAGATCTGCTTTGTGGCCGACGAGGCATTCAGGCAGCTCTCTGCAGTGGACCCCGATGGAAATGCCCTACTGGATGCAGTGAGTCTGTAGACAGAGAGCAGGGTTTGCTGTAACTGACTGGTATTATGATGTGTAATGCATGTCCCAGTTTCTATATAATTTAGGGGTATGACACAAGAGTTTTGAATCAGAAATCCAGCACAAGCCTCTATGATGTGGTTGTATTTATTTACCACCCCCCCCTCCCCAAAAAAAAAGATTGAGTGTCACAAATCAATTTGCCCAATGCATCGCTGTTACTGCATATTACTGTAATGTTTTTTCATGCTAAGATCTGGCACTTCAGTATATTAAATGATTGAAATCATATCCCCTCAGAGCTGTATTGTATTTGAACTGAAGTGTATTGAATCTTTACACAGTTCATAGTTTTCAATTCTTTTTTAGTATCATATGGCAGACTATGCGTCAAGATGTGTTTTTTATTCTGTGAGAGAGAGACACTGAGAGTGTGCTTGTATGTATGCGTTTATGCATTGCTGTGCCGATCTCCCAATGTTACAGGCGATCGCAGCGGACAAAAGTGACGAATGGTTTGCCAGACGCAATAAACCGAAGGCTTCTGCCTGAGAGGATAGGGGAACGGCAGCATCGGGGCTTCGCTGGAACGTGTGCAGTTTCATTTGACATTACAGCAACATTTCAGACCATTCTGCATTCAACACAAACAGTCTTATCTGGACAGCTAGCTGAATGTGACTTAAACTGTTTGCCTTTTGTTATGTAAAACACAGCATGATTAAACAAAGCAATAATCTGCCTTTTCAGTAACTACGGATTTTGGTGTTTTCTTTTTAAACTGGCACACAAATTCCTACATCTATATCGCAGAACAACAAAAGTATTGTAGTGTTCCATTTATTATAGTTATCGATAAATCCTTAAACCTGCCTGCTTCCCTGTGGATTACTGATTTTGGTGTGGTGATGTAGATTTCAGGTTCGCAGACACTGGAACTGGACAATACAGTGGACTGTTATACATAACTGCAGAGTAAGCTTGGTCCAGTATCTGAAATTAAATAGGAGAGTATCTGAAAAATGCAGACTTTGACCTATGGTTATACAAACACTCACATGGGAGGGACGTGTAAGAAAATCAT